CCTCACTCCTCGTGCTGTGATTCAGGTGTTTTCCCACCCTCTCGTCTTTCACGTTGCTCTTTTGGGGGAGTTTGTGTTTTAAACACACCCTGCTTGTTTGCCTCTCCCTTCCCAGTCCAAACAATGTTCCCCTTTCAGTATGATCCTGATGCCACTGATGTACTCACATGGCTACAGATAAACAAATTAGTTCAGGTTATATTGGCAGGAGGGTGGAAGCTGGGATGAGTATAAATGTCAAATGCAGAGAGATGGCTTTGAATGAAACTACAAACTGCATATCAGAGAGGTTTTTCCATTCAGTAGGGTCCAATCCTAACTAAAAACTATTCTTGAGCTTTTTTAGTTGATTTAAAGAGCTTATGAGCTGCCCATCTAATCTTATCTGCACTTAAAAAATGCGAGAGCCAAAATAACTGAGATGCATTTGTGGTGCATTTTCCAGAGCATAAGTTCATGTCCTCTGCAGATAAACAGGAAGGATACCTTAGATGGTGCCCTGTGTGACTACTCAGTGACCTTTTGCCTCCAGCTGGCCTCTGTGGTTGAGTAAAAGACGGGTCAGGGAGAAGGGATTGCCTCTTGCTGAAGGAAATCGTCCCCCCAAATTGGAGCTGTGCTTGGTCTGAGATGGGCAGGACATCTCCAGTTCATCAAACCCCAACTCTGCAGGGGAACCTTTCTGGGGAAGAGGCAGAACCTCACTGCAGGAGACACTCACCCCCTCCAGCCCCTGGGGAACCCTGAAAGGAGCCCTATTCCCTGATGCAGCATACGGTGTCATTCCCAAAGTGCTGCTCTCTGTATCAGAACCGGGTACTTGAGAGCTTAAGAACAGCTCCTTTCAGCCAAGCTGATTGCAAATGAGTTCAGTCAGGCAAGAAAGCAGCACCTCGATCAGATTAAAGGCAGTGTTTTGCCCTGCAAGCTGAGAAAGTTAGCTCACTTTGGTATAAGCTTTCCTGTGCAGACAAGGTCTGTGGCTGGCTGTCTCCTCAAATCCTGCAGCTACCTCACTGAAAAACGAGAAGGGTCAGTCCTGGGAAGGATTTGTGCAGAATGCTTTGCCTTTGGAGAGCTGAGCCAGGCAGGGAAGCAAGGGTCTGCAACAGGTTCTGTTCCCTCCTGAAATCCATGATTGGGATCAGTGCTTTTATTCCAGCAAAACCACAGCACTGCTTCCCAGTTTTTGGCCTCCAGGCAGAGTGTGATGATGGTTTATTTTGACTTAAGGACTCTCCTCCCCACAGATGCATCCCCATCCCTTCCTTAGCTGAGCGGGTCCTACAGATGTAGAGCTTGGCCTCTGCCATGCAGCAAAGAGAACCTGCTTACACTTGTGGCTGCTGTTGTTTGAAGCAGGGCTCCTGGGTATGGCTCACAAGGTATTTATGGGTGTTTTGTGGGGGCTTAATGGCAGCTTCTTACCTGTGATGGCTCACAGGTCATGGCCTGGATGTAATTTCCTCAGGCTCTGGCTGGAGCAGTCAGAGGAAAGCCCTCCCCTCTGTGCTTTGGGCTGCCCCTGCCACCCCTCCATCCCTTTCCACTGCAGCAGGGTGAGGCATGTTGGGCTGTGCTGTGACCTCCAAGGCTGAAATGATCTGGGTTAAAAATAACCCTGTAAAGAGTTAAGGGGTGTATTTTAAGCCCAGGTCATTTCAGTGATCCAGTTTACAGCACAGCCCCACAAACTCACACGGGTTGCAGGGGAGGGGGGAAGGGGGAAAGGAAAGGTCAGGGCAGAATGAGTGGTTGGAAACATAAGCTGTCTGAAAGCCAGGCCTAATGAAACTGTGCCCCAAAAACACTGACACTCTCTTGTTTTTCTCTAGCAGACTGAACTCCCTTCTCATGGTGCAGCATTGGGTGCTGAGTATCACCTTTTCTGGATCTGTAACCAAGACACGAGCCCTGAGCCTTGGATGGCTTGTTGTATCTACCTCTGAGACATTATATTTGTCATTATTTTTGCCGTATTTGCTGTTGCTGAGGTAGTTTGTGCATGCAGCAGTGAAAAGATCCCTATGAGAGTCACGGGGGAGCTTTGCAGTGCTTGTGTCAGGATATGGCATGATGGGCTGGTGTGGGAACAGGCTGCAGGGAGTCATTCCTGTGAAACAAAGGAGGGACGTGGAGATCAGACACTGGCCTCAAAACCATGTCTAGATGCAGCTGCATGAGAATTGGGCTGATTGTTGGACAGGACCAGTACCAAAAATTGTGTAACTGTCACAGATTTCATAGCTGCTGAATACTCCAGCCTTGCAAGGTGCTGTGGAGGTGTTGCTTCTCAGATAAAAGGTGACCCATCTGGCCAAAATGTCCTACCTGCAGAAGCAAACAAGTCAGAAGATTAGTAGGGGAGGGAAGAAAATTAGGGAAGTATAGATCTCTGCTGTTATTCTGCTGGTATTTAGCCAAAATGCTCCACTATATGATAGCCACTAGAGCCTTCCTCTTTCCAGCAGTCAAACCAGCTGTATGATGGGATTTCTGTGGGGATCCAGGCAGCCTGTGAGAAGAGCAGGATCTGTGCCAAAAACAGTGGCCTCCCTCCCCACAATCTGCAGTCAGGGGTTGGTGGGCAGTTTTTGCTCTCACAGTAGAGGCAAGGACCCTGATGCATAAGGAAGGAGAGGTTTGAGAGGCTCAAATTGGCCAATTGTACCTCAGACATAGATAAAGGCAGAACTTTCTTCTCCAGTGCTGCCAACAGGGACTAGGCTGAATTTTAAAAGCAGGTGAAGAAACATAATTTTGAAAACCATCTTCAAATTTATTCAGTTTTATAAACTTACTTACTTGGAAGAGAAAAATGAAACAAATCCCTTACAGAGAACTTGGTAGTTGCAATTCCTTTTTTTGCAGACAGTGCCATGCTTACATTGATGGTATAAATCAATTCCTGTTTACAGCTCTGTCTCACATTTTTCAGAATATACAATGCTCAGGCACTTAATTTTATGGAACAGCAAAAGACCTTAGAGTAGCAGTCACCAAATTACTGATGGACTAAGCCTTTGACCTTAGCTCAGTGGTTTTAACTCATGCAGACTGACCATGCTTTTCTTCTAAAAAGGAGAAGAATCAGCAGTTGACTGCAAAAAGCACAAAAATAATGTCTAAGTAATTTCAGGAAAAAAAAAAAAAAGAGAGAAATGGAACAGAGCTATTTCTCATCACCATTTAGAAAAGTAGTGGTGGGTTATTTCACCAAGGTGGGAAATGTGACCAGGAATGGGAGAAGTTGCATTAATATTGTGGGGCAGGAGAGAGCCAGCACTGAGCTCTGGGGTGAGAGAAGCAGATGTCTTAGTCTTAGGTGTGGGAGCAGCTGAGGACTGGTACATGCTCTGGGAAAATGAGGCTTCCCACCTTCCTCACAGTGTTGGGAAGGAGCAGAGGGATACTGCCAGCCCAGCTCCTGGAAATCAGAGGAATGGTGTTCTCCTTGCAGTGCAAGGAAGGGAACTTTTGCACCCAAATACAGCACCTTCCCTTAACCAGAACACACAGAGCCTGGCCCATCACCTGGGGGTGGAAAAAAAAGTTGTAAAAAAAGATGGATATGGCACAGCACTGTAACTGCCAGAAGGGATCAGAGTAAGGATCCTTTCCTGCTCTTTATTTTCCATAATCAGAGAGTCTGCAGCTGGCAGTTTCTGGAAGACACAGCCCCGTGGGCTACTGGTGCTAATCTTAGAATGGCATGTTCAGAGCTTCCTGCACCCGCAGGAGCCGCCAGCACAAGACACCCATGGAACCGTGCTGGCCTCCCAGCTCTCATCAAAGAAAGGCAGCTGTGTTTTCAGACTGAAATGAAAAGAAAAAGAGAGAAAGGAAAAATTCACCCCGAAAACAAGAGGTCGGAGAGGCCAAGAGGAAGTTCAGTGTCTTTTCTGGGTAAAGGGAAGGACTGTGAAAGAAGCTGTTGGAGAAAAATGGCCTATGAGGGAGGCAGCCTTTCTGCCACAGGCACTGAGCACTTGCAGCTGCTTAGTTTCAACTGAGTCCCTACTTCAGGTATCCATTCTGCCATGCCCATGTATCCTGAGAGCTGATATGATGAGCCAAGCCTCCCAGTCCATCCTGCATTCTCCAGGTTCATTCTTTGCTTCTTCCTCTTTCCAGCCTGCCCTTTCTTCACAGCAGGGAGACTTTACTAGTGTCCCTCCCCACTTAGCCCAGCCATCATTTTTCATGTGCAGCAGGTTGCCCTGCTCATCTGCTTACCTCACTCTTTCTTGCATTCCATTATCAGCCACTTTCCCTGCCTGTAATTACTCCAATGAAAGGGGAAAAGATGAGGGGAAGGTGCGTGAAGGTCACTGGGATGAGACAGCTTGATATGACTTCCTTGGATTCAGGAAAGCTATTCCAAAGTGTATGGGAAATTTAACAGGCAGTAGCAGACACCTACAGTGGCTTGTGGGCCTGGGAAAAAGAAGATAACGTTTGTTGGGAGCATTTATTTACAGCTCTCTGGGCAAGAGAAAGGCCTTCTTCCACGATGCCAACAAAAACTGAGAAGCAGAAAGGGCATTGAGGCAGTGGGGTGAGAAGTGTGGTGCTGGTCATGGGTTCATGGTGGTGGTACAGGGAGCTGTGAGGTGTGAGGTTCCTTACTGATGGTTCACAGCCTGGTTTCTTGTTCTGAGCTCTCCACCTGTAACAAAATCACGATTGTTATTCCTGGTTGGAATAACAATTGTCGGTTAGTTATTCTCAGTTCCTCTGATTTGGTTTCCCTGGCATCAGATACTAGAGATGAAGAACAAAGGTTTCCTTTCATCAGCTTTGATGTCAAGGCTTTCTACTCACACTGCTCAATAGACACATAGAAACAAGAAAACAAGGTAAATGTGGGATGACACCAGGGCAGTGTGGTGTGGGAAGAGCTGCATCATCCAGACTTCAGCACAAACCTTCTGCTTCTCAGCCTGCTGTGGACCCAGGGGAGGGGAAGCTTCTCTCAGCCATGGTATTTCCTCCTTTCCCCCCCCTCCCCTCAGTATTTCACTGAGAAAAAAGCAGAACAGCAAGGGACACATCTCCAAGCAGATGTTGGCTTGCTGTGAGGACTGGCAATGGCTTCTCATAACAGAACCACTGGAAAAGCAAGGCTGATGGTGACCAGGGCAGTAACAAAGGTATGAGAGGGCTGAGGAGGTGTATGGGAGTGTACATTACTGCCTGCTCCATCTGCTCACTGCAAGGATAAGAGGAACAGACACTTGGCTTGAGACACCTGGTTTGCTTCCATTGAAAAGTACTGAGTGTTTCAGCTGGAGCTGAAAGGCTCTGCATGAATCAGTGATTTTCTGGGATATTTGAAAATGCTGCTAAATCCTGTATTCCAAAACCTCTCAGGCTGGCTGATTGATGCCAGATGTGAGAAACTCTGCTTCAAGTCCTTGCTTACTCTTGAACTTTGTACCACATACACAGGCTTGCTTTTCCCAACCTTCACTCACAACTTCTTGTTCCTGGTTTGTCAGAACAGGCCAGCAGAGACCAACTCAGAGGTGGACAAGTCAGCATCACCCTCAGTGGCTCAGCTAGCAGGAAAGTTCAAAGAGCAAGCAGCCAATATCCCTGGAAAAGAGGTAAGCTGTTCTGCAGCCACCAGCAGGAAATTGAGTGGGAAGTTAATCACTTGTCTCTTCCTGCTGGAGCATCAGTGATCTGAGCATGAATCCACCTTGATTTTGGGTCTGCACAAAGGCTTCATCTCCTCTTGCAGTGCAAGTTGTGGCTGTATCTTCTGTGCATTGCTGATTGGTGGATGAGTGTTTTGGTAGAGCCATGTCTTGGGACAGACACTAACCAAGACATTGCAGAGCTTGGAAGGGTGCACAGATTTACCCAACAGCAGCAGACAGCAGTGCATGCATGTCCTGTTTGGGCTGGCTTTTGTGGGCAGACAGCAGCAGTGAATAATGAAATAGCCAATATTGATGGGAAAAGAAACAAACAACAGGTGATGTAGTGTAGCAGCCAGTGCCAGGTCATCAGCACCTCACTCACAAAAGGAGCTTTTCTCCAGGTTATTACTTCTGTGTAGGTTTGAGAGAAAACTGCCTCTTTACTCACCTTCATTGCCTCTTCCCAATAATATTTCAGACTCTGTGCCTATCTCTGTCATGCTGAAACTTTATTTTAATGAAATCCCACTATGCCAAGCATTGCCTCACGCACTGACTTTCTTCAGCTATGCAAAACACTAGAATACGTCTCTTAAGAAGAAAGGAAAGTCAGTGTTATTTATGAAAGGAGGTTGGCATTTTCAGAGAGCCTCCTGTATCATGACACTTTTTTCTTTTAGAAGCATAAATGTTTGCTGGCACCTTTTGAAACTGAGCTGCTCCCTTCTGCCACTCAGCTCCTGATCCCAGCCTGGCCTAAGGGTGTCCTCCCTGTCACCCCTCCTGTCTTTGGCTGGGTGTAGTGGTGACCTCTGCCCTGCAGGGCTGGCATGCCATCATCTATCAGAGGTTAGCACTCCCAGGATTGGGAATATTCCCAGGATGAGAATAGCCAGTCTTTTCCCAAGCACTATTTTTTTTCCCTCCAGTCGCCAGCACAGCACTTCATTTGTCCCATTACAGTAATTTCCTCTTTTGAAGGTATGGGATTTAATTGTATTAAGTCCCTCACCCTTCAGAAGGCAGAAAGTTCCCAGACCTCTCTTGTGTTATCTGCAGACCTCTGCTGCTTCCAAGCCAGGGCAGCGTGGAGGGGCCTCACAGTGTGGAGAAACTCATTTTCTCCAGAGACAGAGGAGGACAAAGTTTCCTGTCTTTTCTCTCCAAGCCATCTGTCATTTCCCCACCAGCTTTCTCAAGCTGGCTTCAGATTAATGGCCCAAGGGATGGTCTTTAACCCTTGCTTGGTCCATGCCAGCAGAGGGGAATCCTGTCAACCAGGGAACCTCTGACACATCCACTGTGGCACAGCACAGCATTTCGTGGTTGCAGAACGGTGGGGTTTCCACAAGACACATTATTGCTTCCTGGCATGACACAAGGATAAGGACAGGGCTGTCCTGGGCTGCTTAGAGATGCAGCAGGGCCATGGCTGGGTGCAGCACCTCCAGAATTTAAGTGACATCAAGTGCACAGGTCCTCCAAGACAGCCAACTGTACAGAGGGCAAAGATGCCATAATCCAACTTTTCCCATGCCAACCTGTGAGAAGGTAACAAAATTATCCAAATACTTTATTGTGGATATTATCCAAGATTCCACATACTAGCCAGTTATTTTGGATTATTTTTTAACGCATGAAAAGTGTGTTAACAGCTTGGCAGGAGACTACAAACCTGGCATAAAAATAGAGACAACTTGGCTTCAAGACCAGAGCAATAGTTATGTGCTATGCATCCCTTCCTTCCTGTGGAGCTGTCTCATAGTTCTGACAGTCCAAGGACATTCAGAAGGAATTGATGTCCCCTGCCATTAAGTTGCCTTGTTCCTTCTCCTCTGGAGAATCTATTTCTTAGTCAATTTTAAGGTTGCAGCTGAGGCCTTGTCCCTGTGTGCTGCTTTTCTTTATTCAAGAGAAACAAATGGGGCTGAAATTCTGAAAAAGTCAGAATTCCCCTTTTTGCCCCGAAAATATATCAGACATAAAGGAGGAAATCATGAACCAGGTAGGCAGCTGAGACTCATGGACAGGAAATCCTGGTAATGACAGGAAAGAGAACAGTAACAGCCTCTCCAGTGTGAAGGGGTTTCCAGCAGGATGCTTTGCACACACAAGTTTCTGGGAAGGCTTCTCCACCCTCCACAGCTTAGAAGGGTGTCTCTTGCACAAAGAAAAAGATACAAACTACTCTTCCAACACTAGGACTGGGCTCTAGATGCTACAAGCACACCCATGTGCTGATACCATCTTTTGCTGCCTTTGAATGACTCATTTGGGCAGGCTGAGCCCTGCCTCCCAAGCAGGTCACTTACACAGCATGCCCTTTGGTGCTTGAATTTCACTTCCTTTTTAAGAAACCTGATTTCCCTGCTGCTCAGTTGGTTGTTTTCTTTCTTAGGTACCACCACATAAGCCAACTAGGAGGAAACCACCCTGCTCCCTTCCCTTGTATTCCCACAAAACTGAGACAAGTGACAATGATGAGCAAGTGAGTATCAATTTAATAGGGGGACAAGGTCTTTCCTCTCTGCAACCTGTTCTCTCCTGAGACACGAGTTTGGAGGTGCCAGAGAGGTCAGGCTGTGCAGCCAAAGCCATTCAATCATGCAGCAGCAAACTTGCCCCTGCTCTCACACGTGTCCTGACCCAGAGTCAGCTCCATGCTGCTCCCTGCTCCTGCAGCATGGATGCACAGCCCATGTCTACTGCTTTTGTTTGCACCCTTGGCACACTGATGGATCCAAGCAGTTACCACTGTTCAGGAAACACTGGTATTTATTGGATTTGAACACGGAGCACCCCCATGCTGTTTGTTGAGCATAATGGGGTAATAGTTTTGCTCATGAGATTTTTCCATCTTCAGAAAAAGGGAATAATTAATCCTGATTGAACAGAGGGTTTGTTGGCAATACCCAGAGAATATTTCTTTAGGACCCTTGAATGAGCAGGTCCCAGTAAGCTGGCTGCTACTTATGAAATTTTACACTCTTTGGTCACTTCTGCCCTTCTGTATTTCAGACTATGAGGTCTACCCACCAAATTTCACGTTGTCACCTGCCCTTAACAAGCAAGTAGTTCTTTGTCCTTTTTATCTGTGAGCTACAGGCTCTTGCTGCCTCCATGCCAAAGGAACATTAAGTTTTAAAATGTTAGATTCCTTCCTTTTCTGAAAAAAGCAATATGTCCCTTCTCAAAGCAATGCTCTGTCTTTCTCAAGCTGCTTCCAGCCTTTTCATAGCTCTACCTTTCCTGCCATTTAGGCCCTTCCTGCTTAAACTAATTGGGTATCCTTTAACTTGGTTACTCAAATGGTTGTAGAAGGTCTTTCTCTTTACAGAAAGTTCACAATGTTTGCCAACATTAAGGCTTTAAGAGGTAGAATTTTAATCTGCCTGGTCCTGAAATAATAGCAGGGGAAACTGTGCCACAGGCTAGATACCTTAGTGGAGGCAATGTAGGAGGAGAACCATCGTGCATCACCTAACTCAGACACTTCAGACAGCAGCCCTTTTTCCCCAAAGGAGGGGTACATGTATCTAGCCCCAGGATGGCTAGATAACACAAGGAGAATGGGGTCAGAAATGAAGAAAAATAAACTTTTGTGTGGAAACACTATATGAAGCTTCATTTGAGTCCTACCAGCAGTTTCTGCTTATCTCTTCCAAGTTATCTGCCTTTATTGCATTTCCTCTTTTTCACCTACTATGCTGTGATGTTTTCTGGTTTCATTTTATTTTTGCAGAAGCGGTCGCCGAATGCTTGCCCCATTCCCAAGGTCAAGGTGAAAAGCTCACCCATGATTGAAAAGCTGCAGGTAGGTCCTGGCAGAACCCACATGGCTTCCCCAGCAAATTAAAGCTGACTGGCATTGATCACAGCTGCTTCCCTTGCAGAGCAGCCACAGGGGAAGGGGATGCAGGAGCCAGGGGTGACAGCCAGGTAAAGAGTGCAGTGGCCTCACTGGGGAGGAACCAGCCCCAGCACACACAAAGAGGAAGGCAGAGCAGGTCTGGTAATGGTCATGGGCACCAGAAGCAGTGCAGTGATTCCCAGGTGTGCCCATAAGCATTGCATGGATCAGGATCATTTGGATCTGTGGAGTGCATGGGCATGGCAGCAGCAATGCTTGAGCAGGAGCCTCAGTTTAAGTGAAGCCCTTGAGAGAAAGTGAGAGAAGCCCTGGCTGAGAGATCCTCCAGCTCCTTCCTCACAGCAGTGTCACTCACACTGTGTCCCCTGCACTGCACCGGGGAGCTGTGACAGGCAGTGACAATCCTGGCAGTGGGGTGTGTGCTTCCAGGCTCCGGCTGTCCCGTGTGTGTGACTGGAAGCTCTGCACTGCACTTCCCTCATCTGGATTCCCGCAGCTGCACACAAACACACCCAGCACTTCCTGCCCTTTTCATGTTTCTGTGGTGCCTGATCTGCACTGCTGAGGGCAGCTCAGCACTCGATGGCCTCAAGACAGAGTGCCCTGCCCCTGCCAGCTGCCTGTCCCGGCAGCACGTGTCACTCCAGAGCCTGCTGGCCACCCTGACACAACCTGAGCCTATTCTTAGCACTGTCCCTCCTGATGCACCCAAGGACATTTGCCATGGGGAGCTTCTCAGTGAGAGGCCAGCGGGAAGTGTTTTGCCACAATTAATCACAAGCTCACTTCTTTCCATGGGCTTCTCACGACTGCACAAGTCGTTCTGCAAGACCTGCAGATCAGGCTGGAAAATGAGACCTCCAGCTGAGCACTCATGGGAAGGTTTAAATCTTGAACCATTGCTGGCTGTGTGTTCAGATTTCTGCCAGCTCAGCCACTGCAGACTCTGGTGGCTTGGCTGGGTCACTGGAAAATCCCAAAAGGCCTCAGGATGACAAAAGAACATGTCCTGAGTTCCAGCTGCCAGGGAAAGACAAATGTCCAGTCATAATTTCTCTGCTCAGACTTGTTTGTTGACTGTGTCACCAGGAGAAACCCACAACTAGGAGGTCTGTGGCTTGTGACAGCTGAGAGATGTGACAGGGCAGGGGTTCCCCTGTGTGGTTATGGTGTGTAGCACATGCTGCTGTCACGCATGCCCTAATGGGGGTTTTTCATTGCAGGCCAATCTGGCTTTTGCTCCAGCTGCTCTGCTGCCGGGAGCGTCTCCTAAAAGTCCTGGGATGAAAGTCCTGGTTTCTCCATTCAGCACGCCTCCCTCAACGCCCACCAGCCCAGGGACTCAGTCCCAGCCCAGTGAGACACCAGTCAGCTTTGATCAGCCCCCAGAAAGCACTCAGCTCCAGTTCTACAACAAGGTAGGATATGCCTGCTAGGGTTTCTCCATTCCACAGCACTTGCCTATTGCTTGAGGATGAAGAGGAAGAGGAGGCTGAGCCCTCAGTCCTGCTGTAAGAGTGTGTATCCTCCAAGAGAGGAGATCTATGCACCAGGTTCCAAACAGCCTTTCAGTGTAGCTGTGTGGAGTGTCCTCTCTGCCTGCCAGCAGCTCCAGCAGCCTTCCTGGCCCAGAGTGTGAAGGAAAGGGGACGAAAGGGCAGGACCCAGTCACCTCAGCTCGGCAGTAACGGGGTGCCTGGTGCCAGGGAGGGGCTGTGAGCAGGTGGTGCCACATGCCAGCGAATGTCTGGGGTGGCTGGGGCTCAGTTTAGAGTCACACAGGGCATGGCAGTTCCTCAGGTGTCACCCAGAGCACTTGAGTGAGGAGCCATAACCTGCATTCCCCATCCCCAGCTGGAGTACAGGCTCCTTCCTGAGCCTGCCAAGAGTAGAAAAGGCTGGTACATCCCGTGGCATTTTCCCCTGCTGTGCTTTGCTGGTTTCCATTCCCACTCTCTTGACTGCTTCAATGTGTGCTTTTCCTGCCCCCCAGGTGCGGACACGAGGGTCCATAAAGCGCAGACCTCCCTCCCGGAGGTTCCGGAGATCTCTGTCCGAGTACGGAGACGGGGAGGATTTAGGGGTCAACCTGTCCTCTCCAGAAAATGGTGCCAGGGAAGATGAGGTCTTTGGGCCCAATGGCAAGACAGAGGAGGTGGAAACAGGGAGCAAAGAGGAAAAGAAAAAGTCAGGGTCTGATGAGAAGCTAGCGTCAAGGACAGGATCCAGCAGATCAGAGGATGAAGAAAAAGGGAGCAAAGAGCAGAAGAAACAGGCAGAGTCTGATGAGAAGCCCCCATCAAGGAGAGGATCCAGTAGATCAGAAGATGGGGAAAGAGGGGAAAAACAGGCAGAGGAAATTACTCCTTGCAAGAATAACACGGGGAATACAAAGGGAGAGGAAGTGTGTCATGATGCCCCAGGAGAGGAGAACTCTCCTCAGCCTCCCTCTGGAAACAGTGAGATGTGTGACAGTCCCCAGGGAGAAGAGCAGCAAAGCACTGCCTGTGAACAAGGAAAGGGGGACAAGGAGAAGGAGGAAGCTGAAGCTGAAACAAAGGAGAGCAGTGAGAGCACAGACACACAGAGAACATCAGACACTGAAGAAGCAGCTCTGGCACCTGAACCACTGCAGGATGCAGTGGGATTAGGGACTGCCAGCGAGCCTTCAGTGTCAGTCACGCAGGACCAGGGCACAGCGTAGCTGTGACACACAGGTAAGATGTGATGGTGGCTCCCAAGGCACCTGAGGGTTTTGCTGTTAGCAAAAAATGGCAACTGTGACAGAACACAACAACAATTTTGCTGCTCCCCACATGTCAAAAGCCTCAGATCTTAGGCCTGCAGAGACTGTGAGGCAGGGTACTCAAAATGACCAGCCCTCCTGGGTGGTGCTACAGAGAGGATGGAAAAGAAGCAAAGCTGATTCTGGATTCAGTATAATGGAGAGGCTCTGCTCACCAGGCACCCTCCTGCATTGCTGTTTTGAAAGCAATCTGAAAGTACTTGCAGTAAAAAGCACATTTCCCCAGCCATAACCATGTATACACTATATCGATATGACTCCTTATATATAAATATTTATATGTGTGCACACGTTGTATGTATACATGTGTACATATATATATATTCCCTATGTGTTTAGCTTGTTTGCTTTGCCAACAAATGCAGGGCACATCAGTTTAATGATCAGCTCTGAAAGTGTGCAAGCAGGGGCCTTTACCACTGAAATAAAAGCGGATTTCCGCTGGCTGAAGCAGGCCTTGTTCCATATATCTTCTTGTGTGTTCTGTAACCACTGATAACATAGCCAGATGCCTGAGGATGTGTCTCATCCCACCTCAACCACCTCCTCTTCAAATGCTTCCTTGGTTTGGCAAGGAGCAGATGAAGGAAGGATTCTGGTGCTTGGGCTGCAGCTCACCTTTGCCTCCTAGAACAGAAACCACCAAAGTGCCCCCAGGACTTCCCAGCACTGTCTTTGCTTAGACCCATGATTATTTTTCATTATTTTCCTACTTATTTTCCCCTCTCAAAAAGACATACC